CTGTAATTTAGTGGGTTTGTTTTAACTAATGCTGAGCCATCAAAACAAACCTCTCATGTTCTGAGAGTCTGCTAAAACTTAATTTATGCCATTATAGCACAGAATATTGGGTCCATGGGAAGGCCACACTATCATGCATCTAGTTGTTCTTGTACTGGAGGACATGAGAAGTACAGCTGGGTATCATCAGCGTATGTATGATAGGAGAGGTTGTGACTCTTGATGATGCTGTGTAGTGGGAGCGTGTAGATATTGAACAATTTTGGACCGAGAACCGATCCTTGTGGAACAGAACTTTAAATGAACTGTGTCGGCGGTAGCGTCTCGAACACATACAGCTTGTGACCTGTTGGAGATGTAGGATCCAAACCATTGGAGAGCTTTCCCCCCAATACCAATCTGCTGTACTCTTTCTAACAGAATTTCATGGTCAACAGTGTCGAATGCACCACTCAGATCCAGAAGGATAAGCCCAGTTACCCTTCCACCATCCATCGCTGTGAGTATGTCATTTTGTACTCGTAGGATGGCTGTCTCAACGCTGTGATTTACTCTGTATGCAGAATGAAAGTCGTCGTGAAGGTTGTTATCTTTTAGGTAAGACTGGAGGCGAATGGACACCACTCGCTCAATAACTTTAGAGAGGTAGCTGAGGTTTGCCACAGGACGGTAACTTGCGAGGTCATTCTTGTCGAGATGTGGCTTCTTGAAGAGAGGTTTCACAAGAGCATGTTGCATACACGTTGGGAATGTGGCAGAATGGAGGGACTTATTAACTATCTTTGCGATGAATGGGGCAAAGACATCAACATGTTCCTTGAGGAGACCCGTGGGAATTCGATCTAGCTCACATGTCGATGTTGGTGAACCCCATGATAACTTTCTTTACTTCAGCAGTGGAGGTAGGGATGAAGTCATTCAGCACTGTCTCAAATTATGCTGTCTCAAAGACCATTTTGCACCATAAACAGGAAAAAATATGCTTAAAGGTATTTTTAATGCTTGAGGTTCTTTGGTTTAAGATAAACAGTTATCAACAAAATCAACATCATCAAGCAAAAGTCAGTTTGGGTATAGTTTGGGTGACTCGGGCTAATAAACTTGGTTACTCACGTTACATTTTTGGTTACTCACGTTACAAAAGTTACTCACGTTACCAAATTTTGTTGCCTTTTATTCTTAAATGTGTGTATTAGTGTCAACAAAGCACTTATATTTATATCTATGTTCATGCAAAGAATGATAATCCTAAATACCAAAATTTAATTCATTATAAATGTTGGTGAAAAAAAACTTTTATATCTTTTCGGTTACTCACGTTACATTGACCAAAAAAAGGTATAAAATGCTACTTTTTGACATCTACAAATGGATGACGGCTGTGAATTGACATATGTTTCAGAGATTATGACTATCACACATGTACATGCTAGAAATAAGGTTATGATATCTCCAATTGCATTAATAGCAATCAATGTTTAAACTTTACCTAATTTTTTGAGTTCTTTGTAGTGAAAAAATATTTTTCACTTTACGACACGATTTCTCAAAAAATGTTTGATAAAATTGGGTTTTCTTTGTTAATTTCTCATACTTGAATGTATACTCTGTAATAAAAATGTGAAACTGGGTTAAAAAATATAACTTTTTTCTTAGCCATGTCCGTCGAACCGTGGAATTGCCCATATGTATCGTGGTCTCCACTATCAATACCCCTAACGTGATGACACAATTCGAGGATTAATTTGCTGGATTCAACTCAAGCATTAAGGAGACAATCCAGGGTGAATCGAAGCCAATTTTAGTGCAATGAATCATTGCAGAAGAGCATTCATGTAAGCCGGCACAAATTCTCGGGTCCCGAGAGTGCTGACTTAGCCGGAGTTTACTGTACAAGCATTTTTTTTATGCAAAACAGTTGTTGAGAGGTGTTTTGTGAAGACGGAAAAGACAACAGGATTGTTTTTTTAAATTTATTTATTCATTTATTATTATATTTTTTTGGACTTGCTGATAAAATTTTTAGGATCGCAGCCTAAAAATAGGGTCGATTGGGTAACCAGAAGCAGAAGTATTTTTTGTTTTGGCCTAAAGTCTCTTCAAACTGTAGTCTGCAACACAGGAGTAACATTATTTGACCTTTTATTCAACCCATACATGTAGCTGTAGAATCAAATAAGTGCGTATTTTAGATGCAAGGGACATTAGATTGCAGGGAGGTACCGTCACTCACGTTACATCAATCACATTACTTCCTCTTCATGGTTTCTAATATGCCATAAAATCTGAGTTTGATGAACTGCAACATAATGAAACTCTTTTGAACCTTTCTCCCTGCCTTATACACAAAAACTCTCCATAACAGTCACATTTTGCATGTTAAAACAAGGTGCCAAAATGACTACCAAAAAGTCATTTGAAGACTTTTGCCATATCTCACGAATGCAATTTGCTAAATTTAAAATTCTTTTTGCATTAGGTTTGTTAAGCAATAGGTAAAAATTGCAAAATGTGTGACGTCATGATGACGTTATTAAAAATTGAGATTTTTTAAAACATATATAAAAAGGGAAAATCCAATTATCATGAAACTTGGTGGGTAGGTAGATAAAAGTACTAGTACTTTTAGTTGGCCTCCACAAATTCTGAAATTTCATAATGATTACGTCATTGGTTGATTTTTAATGTTTTTTTTTGTTGAAAATTTAAAATTATATTCTGCATACAATTTTTTTTATTCATTTAATTGGCATTAAACTTGGTACAAACTAAAACCACAATTGAATAATGTGCAAGGAGAAATATTGTTACGATGACGTCATCATGGGGCATGTGACGTCATCATGAAAGGACGTTTTTCAAAGTTTTCTATTTAGAAAACATTCGGTCTGATTGGCTCAAAATGTTGTATGATCCTGGTCCAACACGGGTTTAGGGAAATTAACCTAAAGTCATGATAAAAAAAAAATTAATTCGATTTTTAATGAGATTTAATTTGATACAAAAAATCAATCTTTGTAACAATTTTTTATGCATGCAAAATCTTCTGCAGATCGGTGGTTATTACAGATTTTAGGAGTTTTATTATCTTCGACAAATATGTCAAACTTGTCTTCAATTTTTTGAATGCAAGAGTATTTCTGATCCTCACGTGACCGTTTTTATTATCCTCTACAAAATTACAGGGCGCTTGCAGTTTTACAACTGACATTCGACCGAGATTGCATGAGCTTGGCAATGGGAAACTGTACTCGGTGTAATTCTACGCAGCTCGCTGATATTTCGCCTACCACATTCTCGTAGTACACATGGTCATGATGGACAAAAATATGTTTTGTGTACATGTACATTGTGCATATATACATTGATGATGGAGTCTCACATCGTTGCCAACGCATGAATACACAGCAATTATGTCGAGTTAAGTCCTATTTTGGGTTTTTGCATGGGAGTGGAGTCTTGATCCACACACTCGACCATACTTTGGGCTAGTGAAACCTGGGATAGGGTCTTGTGTGCTTGTGCACTTCAGCTTCCTTTTTGTTCTCTTTGTCTCCAGTTGAATTTGTCTGTCGTTCTTGAAGTGCCTGACTGCTGAATGGCAGCCTTGGCGCCACGCATTTCGGTGTTGACTGTGTTCCCAGCCTCTCTCTAGGCTACATGTGCGCAAGTTATGATTGTGCCCAAGTACTGCAAGGGAGTTTGTGTTGAGACCTTGAAATTGTTGAGACCTACGATAATCGGTCTCGAGACCGGTCTCGATACCGAGACCTGCCTCGAGACCTACATCACTGCCTCGAGACCTACATCACTGCCTCGAGACCTACAGCACTGCTTGCCGATACAATTTTTAGGGTTGCAGCCTAAAATAGGGTTGAGTGGGTAACCGGAAGCAGAACTATTCTTTTTTTTTTGCCTTAGGGGTGTTCACTTACTTCAGTGGCACACACAAGTGACACCACATTGCCCACCCACCACTGCTGCCCACCCATTTCTTTGCTAATCCCTGTTGCTAGTCATGACACATTCCATGTTGGTTAGGTACACTGAAAATTGTCCTTGCTAACTCCCTGTACATGTACGAACTGCAAGCTTGCCAGGAGGATCCTCCCAAGATTTACTTGCAGTAGGCCTATTTTTTTTAATAATGTTAACATCACTTTGAGCCTGAAAATAAAAGATCACCTGGAGAGGTTCTCAGAACCTCGTGCAACCCACCTGTGGGCATTTTTGAATGTCAAATAAAATGAATCACAGTATTCCGTCTGGCTAGACCGTCCGTCTGGCTGGAGCGCCCGTCCGTGCAGCTTAGTTTCCGGATGATAACTTGAGTTAGAAATGTTGTTTGGGATTGTAACTTCAGTAGAGGGTTGCCCTTGGGAGTAGGCAAGTTGGGATTGGTTTTGGGGTCAAAGGTTAAGGTCACCGTGGTGAGTTAAGGGGAAATGGTTTCCGGATGATAACTTGAGTTAGAAATGAGATTTTGATGTCTAACTTTGGTAGGGGGTTGCCCTTGGGAGTAGGCAAGTTGGGATCGGTTTGGGGGTCAAAAGGTCAAAGGTCAAGGTCACTGGTGAGCTGAAGGTAAATGGTTTCTGGATGATAACTTGAATTAGAAATGAGATTTTGGTGTGTATCTTTGGTAGGGGATTGCCCTTGGAAGTAGGCAAGTTGGGATAGGTTTTGGGGTCAAAAGGTCAAAGGTCAAGGTCACCGTGGTGAGTTAAATGTAAATGGTTTTTGGATGATAACTTGTTAGAAATGAGATTTTGGTGTCTTACTTTGGTAGGGGGTTACCCTTGGGAGTAGGCACTTTGGGATAGGTTTTGGGGTCAAAAGGTCAAAGGTCAAGGTCACTGTGGTGAGTTAATGGTTTCTGCATGGAATGTCAGTTTGCCCTTTTCGACAAACTTTGGCTGAGGGGTTTCAACAGCAACGCTGTTATTTTTTGAAAGTGCTCCCACTAAGTGTCATTGTTTTACGCTCTATTTTTAATGTAGAAAAGCAAAGAAGACACATGGAAGGCTGATGAGTTGGAAAGGTCCATCAAGGTAAGATTACAAGGATCATTGAGTATGGCTTGATTGCATTCAGCAGCCATCTTGGAGGTTTTGAAGCTTATTCATTAAACAATGAATGCACAAGAGGTCTACTCATGCGTGTCCCCATTGACAAATAAGCACACACCTCCAAGATGGCTACAATTCAAACAAGCCATACAGCCAACTCTCTCTAACTGAGACCCCGTTCCCACTAGATCCACCAATTGGGGGATCTGATCACCTTTTGCCAAATTGCCGAATCAGATCGCCCAATTGGTGGATCAGATCCAGCAATTGTGTGTAATGGGAACGCTAACCTTTATAAGGTGGATCAGGATCAGATCCACCTTTCTCGATCAACCTCTGGACTAGGATACAGATCCCCCAATTGGTGGATCAGATCCTGCAATTGGCAGATCATGCTCAAATGGGAATGCAAAAGGTGGATCTGATGCGGCAATTTGACCTGTCAACATCCGCCCGGTGCACGAGTGGCACGAAAATTGTGCGGTCTTATGAATGAAGAAACACGTTTTTAGGCATGTAGCTCGTAAGAAAAATTCCAGTTTGCACAACATGCACAATAAACAACTGCCGAACTACAGGCTTGCAAAATGTGTCACGACGCATGCATGATGCATGCATGCAGCGCACGTGGTATATCCTAATAAAGCTACACTAGGCCTTGTACAATTTTCGTTGGGTATTCGTCCGTTTCAAACCTTTTTCTTTTGTGAATTTTACTTATTTTTACATTCATAAATAACTCTGTGTTAGTGTAAAGCCCGCACTCGCCAAAAACACGTCACTTTGGCACAGTACAGAATCATAGAAAAGTTTACGAGTATGCGATGAGAATAGTGCCGATAACACGGTACGTACAGAGGTGACAAATCTGTAGAATTGATTATAGAAAATTGGAAAATGATGTCGTAGTACATCATGTGACCATTTTTAACCAATGAGAAGCTTCAGAACTGGGGAATTCCTTATCAATGCATTGGTTTCAACCGCGAGAATGTGACATCACACAATGAGCAGCGCTTTTCGATTTCAATAGTTAATTTATGCAAGGATCTATTACGGATCCGTGATTTATGTCGGTGAATTCGTGTAATTTATGTCGGTGAATTCTGATAGCGCTGTTTGAAAATTGACCCATCCTAGCATGCAACAACATGCAATTGTACTCCCACAGAGCGCGCTCAGCAAGCTAGCGCATGCGTAATACTGAACTCAGTGACCTTTCAGACTCGACATTTCCGTTCAAAAAGGTGGATCAAGCATAAGTGGGAACGCGACTTGCGGTTTTGTTGCGGTAAGATAACAATCACACCAAAATGCCGGATCTTGATCCACCTTTTCACAATTCAAGTCGGAACGCAGTGTTAAATGGTTAAGCTGAACTGAAAGTCCAGATTTTACCGAGAGATAATATTCCTCTCAATTCACAATTTAAAGCCACTCAATATTTGTTTTATACCACTGATATACGGTAGATCCTTGTCATTGAGTGGTCGGGCACAACTTGACCACTGTTTAGAATAATTCTGATAAATCTTCTTTCTATCTTTCTTTCTTTTTTCTGGACAATAATTCTCTGTGTTTTTTTCCCTAAACGGTATATGGTATGTACTTGTTAACTTTAACATATATTGACCCTCATTCCTAGTGGTGCATATAACTCTGATGTCATGATGACGTCATCGGGTGTCAAATTACAAGCGATTTTTGTTGAAAAAAATGACGAACATCTTTCACTTATAACTCTCAAACAAAATAATCAATCATGTTCATACGTTGTATTCAGATAGACCATTCATTGATAAACATTTTTTGTCTGTACTTGAACTCGCTTGACCTTTACTTCCGGGTCAACCAGAAGGTTAAAGGGAATATACATCATTTGCTTTTGCTGTAATTTCCAGGAATGGATGGAATTGGGGGGTTGGAAATTTATAGCAAATATAGTTACACTGACTTTTTGGAGGTTTTTGGTTCGAAAATGCTATAAAAACCAAGAAAAACGATCATTTTCCTGTAGTCTGGTTCCCTGACTCCATATAAAAAGAAACAGAGCAGTTTACATACATTGGGGAATTGTAAGGTCAGGGAACCAGTTTAGCTGGCTCGTACCCGTTCATAGGTTTGTAATCGATTGCAAACAAGTGCTATGGTCAATTGGGGCCAGTATTTGAAAAAAAAGCCAGTTGTTTCCAACGCTGATCGGCCGATCAGCGTTGGAAATTGATACAAAAATACCACTTTTCTTGAAAATGACAGTATACCAGGTGCCATGATTTTACAGGATGCTTTACACTGTCATTCACTAACAGTCCAGCAAGGTATTTCAAAATGATTTGGTAGTTTTATTTTTTGATGTTTGCAAATGTTGTATTTTCCCTTTAAAGTATTTGTGAAATAAAAATGCAGACAGAAGCTTAAAACTCAAACCGAACCATTTTTTTCCCCAAACGATTTAGGGGATATGATTAAACCTGGTATGAACTTGAACCCCCATCCCAAGATGTAAAAAATTATCTGATGTCACCGTGATGTCATCAGGTGTCAAATTGCAATCAATTTAAGAGCCAAATTTGAGAAAAAAGTTTCAGCTTTAGAACTAAATAGAGTATCGTATTCGTTTTTCGAGCAGGTTTTAATTGGTGCCTCGGGCAACAATTCTTTTTCCCGGGCACAAAACCGTTTGACTTTAACTTCTGGTATTACCGGAAGTGCAATAAAAATTTAATATAACTCGAAAGCGGAAGCTTTTTATCTATATTCAAATAAATTATGAAAGTGTTATGAAAGGAATAAAGGACACAAAAATTATGATGTCATCTGAAAGGGCGCCCTCTAGGGGTATATCATTTCTTTTCTTTTTTTAAATTTAAAAACCACCCGTCCAATTTGAACCAAATCCCTCAATAACGATGTCAATGAACGTTCCATGTGATCCAGGTAAGTTGATGTTAATAGAGTGGTGTTATGTCATGGAAATAGGCATGGTTGCGGGGCATTTGTGTTTTTTAACACTATTCTTGTTTTTAATTTATTTTTAAAAACTTGCCGTTTGAATGCAGTGAAAGTTACTATGTAAAGCAAGTTTAGGTAGGCCTTCAATATGACATTATAACTGACACTTCTGTACTTCTCGTTTTTTAATTAAAATTAATTAAATCGCATCCTTCCGTTACCAAATTGGTAACGGAAGGACGGTAACGGAAGGACAAATGTTATTTGGGTCAAATGTTACAACATTTGTGCTCATGTTTGAAAAATGAAAATCACTGCAAATACATGCATGTATAATGAGCATTAAAAGGACATTTATGTGACGCACCTTCACGAAGGTGGTATAAGCAGGGCAAGGTGTTCATTACAAAGGATGGCACAGGCATGTACAAATGTATGTATGTCTATGTACTCGTACATAGACATACAATTTCTGTGAAGCCATTCCAGAAGCAAATTAAGTCAAAAATGAGATGGCAGAAAGTACTATTGGGCACTTTCATACAATTTACATGTGTAAGACATGTGAGGTGCAATTTTTTACCCCTCAGCCGAGAGGCTTGAGGGGTATTGTCATCGCCTACTGCGTCCGTCCGTCCGGTACGCACTGACATACGGACGGACGCTCCAGCCAGACGGAATTGTGGGGTGATAGCATTGTATTCCCATTAGGCCCCCTATCCCTTTTTCTAAAGATTCTCTTTTGGGGTGATGTTTTTCTATTGTGAAAATAGTGGGGTGATGTGTCCTGAAAGGAACATCACCCCACAAGGGGGTATGGTCAGAACGGACGTTCCAGCCAGACGGAATTGTGGGGTGATAGCATTGTGTTCCCATTATCCCTTTTTCTAAAGATTCCCTTCTGGGGTGATGTTTTTCTATTGTGAAAAAAGTGGGGTGATGTGTCCTGAAAGGAACATCACCCCACAAGGGTGGTATGGTCAGAACGGACAGCCAGCCGGACGGACGCCGTAGGCGATGACAATACCCCTCGAGCCTCTCGGCTGAGGGGTAAAAATGACATACAAATACATTCTGTACAAAAAGAAAGACACACAAGTATACCCTCGTAAACACCGACGAACGTCCGGGCAGCTTAGTTTCCAGATGATAACTTGAGTTAGAAATGTTGTTTGGGATTGTAACTTTGGTAGGGGGTTGCCCTTGGGAGTAGGCAAGTTGGGATTGGTTTTGGGGTCAAAAGGTCAAAAGGTCAAGGTCACTGTGGTGAGTTAAAGGTAAATGGCCTGGTTACGCCTTCTGGGACTAATGGCAAGTCTAGTGGACCTCATTCCTTGGTGCAGAATGCGAATGCTTCTCATACAACTCCATCTCCTGGCCTTGTATCGTCCGAAACGAGATTCTCTCTCGCTTTTGGTTCCGATTCGGCCCCTAGCACTTCAACATCTCAACTTGTGCCGCCAACGGGTAAACCTCAGTTGCGGAGTGACCTTCCCTCGACCTCAACCCACCTTGATTCTGACGACCGACGCATCCATACAAGGATCCATACTTGGGAGCAGAGACCACAGCCAGAATGTAGTCCCCAGAAGAGAGTTTATATCACATCAACGCTCTAGAGTTGTTAGCAGTCCAACAAGCTCTAATTCATTTTTCCAAACTGGTGACAGGTCATCATGTTCGGATCATGTCCGACAACTCGACAGTCGTCTCGTATGTCAACTGACAGGGGGGGACTCGGTCCCCCCCGTTATGTTTATGTTGGTGCCTAGCGAACAAGGTGCGACTATCTGCATCTCACCTCGCAGGGAAAGTGAACACCCTGGCAGACGGCCTATCCAGGGGCAAGGTTATCCCCACAGAGTGGACTCTTCATCGAACTGTGGTTGAGGCTATCTTCAAGAAATTCGACCGACCTCACATAGATCTGTTTGCGTCAGCCCTAAACCACCAGCTGCCGGTATACTCGATCGATCGATTGGACAAACATGTAGGCTTTTGCGTACCCTCCGATCTCACTAATTCCAAGA